AAATATGCAGCTTTAACCAGTTAAAATAGAAAATTTCTGGAAGCGGAGTCTGAGGCAAACCCTATCTAAACCAGAGATGATATCCTTCCCCCACCAAGCCCTCAGTTCAAGGGAGCTGCTTTAAGCACTGCATAGTCTTATGCCAAGGTCACATCTGTATGCAGCCCAAAATTCTCCTATCAAACTTCAGGCTGCCCCAACCATGCTCTTAGGGCCACCAAGAAGCATTTGCTAGGAAGGCAGGGAACAGAGTCAGTGTTATCTGGCCAAATTTTTGTAATTCATTCTCCCCTACCCAAAGGGAGGTAGAAAATCACAGCAGCCTGGGAATCCTACGGTGCAGATCAGCTGAAGCAGAGCCTACTGCTGTTTCCTGCTGGAACTGCCACTATAGATTTCATAAACGTTAGGGCTGGAAGGGACCTTGTAAGATCATCAGGTCCAGCCCCCTGCCCAAGGGGCAGGAAGTCAGCTAGGATCAAAGGATCCCAGAAAGATAAACAGCCAAACGTTTCATGAAAGTGTTCAGAGTAGGTGCTTGCATCACTTCTGAGGAGAGCCTGTTCCAGACCTTGGGGGCTTGGACAGTAAAGAAGTTTTGCCTTACGTTCAGCCTAAAACGGCCTTGCAGGAGTTTGTGACCATTGGACCTTGTCATCCCTTGGGGCGCTCTGGTGAACAGGCATTCCCCCAGTTCCTGGTGCACCCCCCTGATGTACTTACAGGCGGCCACCAAGTCACCCCTGAGCCTGCGCTTTTCCAGGCTGAAGTCCCATGGCTTGCAGCCTCTCTTCGAAAGGCCTGTTCTCTTGCCGTCTGATCATGCGTGTGGCGCTCCTCTGGACTCTTTCAAGCTTCTCCACGTCCTTCCTAAATTGTGGAGCCCAGAACTGGATGCAGTACTCCAGCTGCGGCCTCACCAAGGCCGAATACAGCAGAATGACATCCTGGGTCTTGCTCGAGATGCGTCAGTAGACGCAAGCCAGGGTTTTGTTCGCTTTGCCAACTGCAGTATCACACTGGTGGCTCATATTCATCTTGTGGTCAATCATGACCCCCAAGTCTTTCGGTCACGGTGCTAGCGAGCGTAGCACTGCTGAGCCTATAAGTGTGACGTGGTCCATCCCCCTCCCCGCTGAGGTGGAGCACCTTGCATGTCTATCACGGCCGCTCTCCAAGTACTTCTCTGGCTACAACAGGCCACTGCAGACAGGCTGATCACCCACCTCACAAGTGAAGACTGCTTATGACGCACCGGTGCCCGAGCCACACGCAGTTCCCCCTGGATGGGAAGGGTAATAGGAAGCAGAGGCAGACTTACTTCTTCATGATCTGAATTTCATGGCACCACCGGTCCTTGTTTTTCACACTGAGCTCCAGACGGCAGGATTTAATCGCCACCTTCTCACCAGACTCCTGCAACACAAGAGCTGGGGGTGACTGGGCAGGCCACCGGGAGGGAAGGGGGTCACCGCTGGGGTCCGTTTCGTTTC